AAAAAAAAAAAAAGTTAGAAAAACTAGCCAAGTGTTGTGGCAGATGCCTATAGTCCCAGCTGGTCAGGAGGCTGAAGCAAGAGGACTGTTTGAACCCAAGAGTTTGAGATTGCTGTGAGCTATTATGATGCCATGACACTGTGCCCAGAGTGAGAATCTGTCTCCAAAAAAAAAATTGGCTCACAAGAAATAGATTTCATAAGACTCTGTAGGCTACAGGGAATGCTTGAGTCTTTGAAAATAAATGTGCCATTGTCTGTTTTGCAACTTAAAAAGATAATGGGGGGCAGTACCCATAGCTCAGTGGGTAGGGCGCCAGCCACATACACTGAGGGCTGGCGAGTTCGAACCCAGCCCTAAAAATAATGACCACCGCAACAAAAATGCCTATACTCCCAGATACTTGGGAGGCTGAGGCAAGAAAATCACTTAAGCCCAGGAGTTTGAGGTTGCTGTGAGCTGTGACACCATGGCACTCTACCAAGGGCACCATAATGAAACTGTCTAAAAAAAAGAAAAAAATTAACGGCAGAAATTTACAGATAATGCAACAAGTCACATGAGAGTCACAGATTCTAATGAGAGTCTTGGCAGTGGAAAGGCAGGTGGACAGGCTCCCGGTATCTGGGAGGGACATCAAGATGGTCTGAATGGGAAATGAAGGTAATGAGGATAAGTCTTAGAATTAATAGGATTAGGATGTTTTTATAGACATTACTTGATGATTGAGTTAATCATACTCAGTAATGCATGACCTGGTATCATTAGTTCCATTCCATTCCTCATCCTTTTTCCAGAGATCCTCTGAAATGGAAAGATGCTTTACCAGCAGAAGGCAGTGGTTAGGGTAGAGACACATATACACTCAGAAGGAATCTGCCTGGAGCAAGTCTGGCCACCAAGAATTTTAAAGAGTTCCCCACAAAAACCAGAAGGAAATAAAAGCACTTTATGCTCTGGGTTTTTTCCCTTCATTTTTTGCAGCAAAGCTAAGGATATAATTATATTATCCAGACTGTCTTTCCCTTAGAGTTCTAGTTGCAAAGTGGGTTGCACCTATGAGATGCATTTGATGGTCTTGGAAGAGAAGTGAGACAGAGGTCACCATCCTATTTATGGAATCATGGCATTTCCTAGGCATGGCATCTCCGGGGCCTGAGCTGGGGCAGGCCCACTGCTTCCTGATCATTGGGTACCAACGGAAGCTTCATGTTCCTGAAATTGTCTTCTTCGCTGGAGATGATCCCACCTACACCCTACCTTTCCAGCCTTTAGAGACACCTATATAAATATAGTTACCTATATTCAATTTCTGGAGAGGTTTTCTCTTAAAATTGGACCGGAAGTGATATTACCACCACTTGAGACATTTTAAAATGTAGAAATTAAAAGATTTCCACTATAAAGAAGAGCAAAAGCACTCACCCTAGATATTTTAGGTTACAAAATGGATTCTTCAAGGCCTTACAGAGAAACCACAATCCAGTAGTTATGCAGTTGAGACCCAGGTCCAAACTTGTTAGGCTGGAGTGTCCCTGGAATAGCTTTGAGAGATGTTTGCAGCCAAGTCTGGAAATGTTGCATTGCCGTAACACCAGGGT